CTGATCTGTTTCATGTTTCTGTTGATTTATTTCATGGTGCTGCTGATGTGTTTCATGTTGCTACTGATCTGTTTCATGTTGCTGTTGATGTGTTTCATTTTGCTGCTGATCTGTTTCATGTTGCTGCTGATCTGTTTCCCACTAAACATTAGACGTCTAATGGACGTCCAGATTACGTCTATATTGGGTCCGTTGGTCGAAGACCAATTCTGGACGTCCTCCCGACGTGCAAACAAGGTCCACTTTTGGACGTCTAACCATGACCGCATTTGTTCGTCAAAATAACGTCAGACTTGGACGTCATATAGACATCATTTTTTTAACATGCATTTCCTCTATTCTTTTTTTTTTTTTTTTACAAATTTTAGTAGTTACCTTATTATTTATTTGAAGAATATCGTTATTATTATTGTTATTATTATTCAATTTTATTCCGCGTTGAATTACGGAGGTAACAGTCATATGCATAGCATAGAAGCAGCATTTTTTAAGCGACTAAAATAAGTTAAATATAATGAGAGCCTATTTAAAATAATAAATATAGTTAGTTGACGTGGAAAAGCCGTCTATATTAACATGTCAGATAGACGTCGAAACTAGACGTCTTCTGGCGTCAGTCTGCACCTCCGAGGGACCCAGTGTAGACGCGCAGAAACGACTTAAAAAGACGCTGTTTCGACGTCTCCTTGCTCAGCGGGTTCATGTTGCTGTGTTCATGCATGTTCATCTGCTCACACACTCATGTTCGTGCTGCTGTCCAGCGTATTGTTTTATACTATTAGTGCTCAGTGTACTCTGCACGGTGCACAACTAGAGCTGCTGCCTCTCAGCAAGCAGGTCCCCGGTTCAAATCCCGGTCCAGGGTCCTTTCTGGGTGGAGTTTGCATGTTCTCTCCGCGCATGCGTGGGTTTTCTCCGGGCGCTCCAGTTTCCTCCCACAGACCAAGAACATGCATGTTAGACTGACTGGTGACTCTGAATTGTCCCTAGGTGAGAGTGAATGTTGTTTGTCTCTGGGTCCCAACAGTGGAAAGGAAAAACTCCCTTTTAACAGGAATGAACCTCCATCAGAACCAGCGGCCATCTGCTCGGACCTGCTGGGTTTGAGAGGAACAGGAAGGAGATGACGTGCGTCCACTGGAGGCTGCACCACCTGAGCTGCACATGTTCAAGTGTCGGGCACACCGTGCTGCTTCTGTCTCTGTTTAAAACTGCCAGCACACGACGAGCTCCGGACAAGAACCGCTGAAGCGTCATCCTTTAATCATCTGCAACAAGGTTCATGTCTGCTTCAGTGACAGAAGAAAGGAATTAACGTGGATGTAAGAACAGTTTTACAAAGTAAGGATGCTCTAAAATGATTGATAAGAACAAACTTAATAAAAATCCTTTGTTAAAAAGGCCCCGTGTTGTTGAAACACTTGTAGTTTAATCAAATCCCAAAATGTCCATGCATAAATATAAACTTTCAGTTGTTTAAAATCAAAGTGCCAGAAGAGGTGGCACTCAAGCATTGCAAGAGCCACTACTGCCCCCTGCTGGTCACTTCATGCACTACAACCTGATAAATATGAAAACACGACTCACTTTAAGCTTTTTCTTTTTTGTGGAAATATGTTACAGTTCTATTATAGGTATTTAAATGCCCAGAGGGAGAACAACAACAAAAGACGGTAGAAAAAGTAAGAGCAGAAGGTGCAGAGACTGAAACGGTTTGACGGACCCATCAGGCAGAACCAGAGTCCAGCGTGGACTCGTGTCAGCAGACGTCCAACAAACACGGCAGGTGTCGTTCATGCAGGTGCACGAAAAACAGCAGCGGCATCGAAAGGACAGCGCCTCCTCCTCCGGCGAGCTCTCGGTGATTAGCAGCACGCGTGTGGTTTACGTGAAGGTGTGGACGCAGCGTCTGCGCACACACACAGCAGAGCGACAAAGTGCTTCATGCACACAAACACACAACAGACGAGCAACTTGGACACACACACAAAAAACACACCAGGGATAGTTTAGTTCTCGTCAGACCTGTGGTTGGCCGACTTCAAATTCACAATTTTACTGGTTAAATACACGTTTGTTTGAAGTATACAACAGCGTCGAGTAATATGTAGTAGTTTCAGTGGCTCACACAGTAGAAACATTCAACATGTTGAAGCCTTGGCTGGTGTTAAGATTCACATCCTGCTTCTTGAACCGCGTCAGAAGGTTCGGCTCAGGTTGAGACGACGCTTCAGCTGTGGCCAGGCGAAGCTGGACGACACCGTCCCCCCTCCACCAGTGAGAAAACGTTCTGGTCGAGTGCAGATCCCATCTGATTTTGACTGGAACTTATAAAACGTCATAAAACTCTGTCATAAATGCAAACTGAGAAGTAGAAAAATGTCTTTAATATAAATTACACCAGTCTCTGATGACGACGTCTCCGTGGTTCGGTCTCACGCACGCAGAAGCACGAGCTTCGTGAGCCCCTGACTCAGCTGCACAACATGCTCTACACATTTTACCCACGGTAGAGAACAAAGAAACGATCTCCACTGAAATTAAATCTCTGCACATACAGTAACGCTACATCCCTTCCTTTTCTTCTCTGAATGCAAGAACACAAGCAAGGTGCAGTTGAGGGCGACGGACGAAGGGCCGTCCCTGTAGCTGCCTTGTTTTAGCTCCGCCCCTGCAGGTCGCCTACAGGGCGGCACCAGTCGGTGCGGCTTGGAATGTGCCGACGAACTCGTCGGAGGTGAGCCAAGGACCTCAGCAGTCAAACCGCATTTCCAGCGACTCCTCGAAGCTCCGGCCGTCGTGCCCGGCCCCCGACAGGAAGGCGGCGGAGACGGGCGCGCCCGTAGCTGTGGTGACGTTGAGGAGGGTGCCGCCCGGGGAGCTGCTGGTGGGACTACGGAGGGCCGCTGCCGTGATACTGGTGAGGTTGATGCCCAGCGTGAGACGAGTCTGTTCCAAAGCCTTCTCGGGCACGGCGAAGGCCTCCAGCTTCTTCTCTCCGTTGGCCATGTAGGAGTTCTGGCAGCCGCGGCAGATGCAGTCCAGGCATGCCTGCAAACAGAGGAGGTCAGAACGGGGCTGCAGCTCGTGTTCTCTCTAACAACTGGACCGGACATTACAGGCCAGCGCACGACACGCTCAAACAACTGGACCGGACACTACAGGCCAGCGCACGACACGCCCTCGAGCTGGCTCTGCTCAGAGGCCGAGCTGTGGCTGCAGAGGCCGACACCACGCTAACGCAGCGAGCTAATGTGTTTTGACAACAAAAACATGGTTCGTCATGCTCCCTGTTCTCAGACTGATGTTTGCAGGTGCAGCTCCAGATGTTCTTACCTTGCGGTTGGAGTAACAGGGGCAGCGCTGCCCCCTACAGGTCAACACTGAGGGGTTCTGGGTAGCTCGGCCGCACTTGCAGCCCTTCTTCTCCACAGTTTTTTTATAGAGAGGTTTTGAAGGGCTGGGTGGGTGCGTGAGGGGGTGCGGGTGGGGGTGCGGGTGGGGGGGTATTCTGTCCCGAGGCTGTGCACGAGGCTTCGGCACCCCTGGCCTGGCCTTTGTGTAGGCTTTCTTGTTGGCCCCGTGATGCTCCAGTGTCTTTTTTAGGACCTTGCTGGGGATCAGCATGGTCTTGTCCACCTTGGGGGGGGCCGCCGTTGGAGACGGGCACCAGGTGTTGAAGTGTGGCTGCAGAGAACTTGGGCTCATACTTGGTGGGGGCAGCAGGGTTAAGGTGGTAGGGGGAGCAGATGGCACTGACGGTGGGCCCTTGTAAAATGCTGGAAATGGGGAGGGGCTGCACCTTCTCACTGTCGCTTTCCGAGCGAGAGCGCTTGCGGTGGGACCGTGGGGGTACATGGGGAATGATTATGGAGGGCTGAGGTGGGGGCTGAAGAAGATGGTGGCTGTTCTCGTAAATGAGGTGGGAGGAGTCATGCCCTGGGGGACAGTGGGGCCCGTTGAGGTTTGACTGAGGTACACAGGGGTGGTAGTCCGGCTGGGGGGTGGGCTCAGGTATAGAGTCAGGGTCGGTCTCTAGAGTTCTGAGCACCTCCTCCACACTCAGTAACAACGGCCCCCCACCGTGCTTCAGGTCGTCTCCAAAGGTGCTGATGTCACAAAGCCCCGCCTCCCCGCTTCCCGTGATGCTCACGCACACGGGCACCTCCTCAGAGAAGCGTTCCTGTTTGGCAACGCCCCCGCCCGTCTCCATGGTGACGGACTGCAGCGAGTCTGAACCGAGCAGACCGTTACAATCGTGGAGTCCGTTAACGGTGGCGGCGCTCCGCTCCTCACGCTTCACCTCCCTCGTGGGCGTGGCCTCGCCAGACCGAC